CCTTCTGGCGGATATGTGAAGACAAGCTGTTTAAGTAATTTAATTGTAACTCATTTGTTGTTTTAAGGTGATTGAATCGGTTTAACAATCAGTGGCCGTCTTTCTAATGAAATTATGTTTACTTTTTCGTTAGAGTAATTTGAGAGGAGCAAGTTATTTGAATATAGCACAATACTTTGCATTTCCAAGTTTAAAAGAAACTAAATTCTCTCTGAATAGTATACCCTGTGATGGAATATTTTAGGAAGAAAAACTTCTAAGATCGTCGTCTTATTTCACGGAAGCAATGAAAATGATCACCTGCTGTTTTTCCGATGTGGTAGCCTAATTAGATAACCCATCGTACCTAGAGTGTAAATCCTCTCTCATCAGGAGATATAAATTACAACCTAGTTCAGTTGGTGGTATGAACTTAGTTTCATTTGTATCGAGCTTTGCTAACTCGCTCAATTTCAGATGAGTTTCAAAAGCGAACGTTCTCTCCATATTCCTGGTTGTAATTTGACGAGCCACCAGTAAAACAGCCCCTGAAAACAAGGCAGTGCTTGTTGTCTTTGGTGAAAGTTTAAAATCCATAAGTAAACTATAACAGATGAGATTTCTTAAAATCAGCGATAATCGATAAGACCCTTAATCACTCCTGCTCATGCAATAACGTACTGCGTTAAAAGGAATATTCTTACATTGCGATATCAGAGCTATTCATGCAACTGGCGAGAGGAGATAAATCATTTGTAAGCCAGTAACATATTTTGTAATGAGTACTTTCAATAATTGGAAGTATTTAATAATAAGTGGCTTGCTATAGTGGCTATTAAGGCAACATGAAACTACGCCTTATTACATTATTTACAGTTTCAATTTTCGATATACAAAGGCTAACGAATCCTATGATTTGTAACGAGATCTATCAAAAATTCTGTTGTTTCTGTGCTACATGCACAATGCTATGCACAGTTGTCACGACCTTGCAAAAAAAAAAACTTTGTTCTTATCCAATTTAGAATTTCGTCTTTCCTTAAAAAAGTGTTGTTACCCAATTAAAAATTTCGTCTTTGACTGCTACGGAAGTAGAATGTCAGTATCAACAGAATGTCAGTTTCCTTTACTCACGTTTCAAAATGGAGAGTTTAAAACATATTTTAGCGTATTTATGGCCACTCTGGACAAGACTTACCGAAGAATGGCTACGACAATAACTAGTTTTGACCGGGACCCTCGTGACGGTAATTCAGGAAAAAAATAAATACCATTAGAGTTGTCTGTAACGATAAGGACAGTACGTGACCATCACTACATAAGTGCATAAAACATATGTGCACGCTCTCAGCGCTAGCTAAGTTCCTCGTAATCTATTTTTAAGCACCTAGGTGCGTTCTTCCAAAGAATGACACCGACAGAATTTCAGTTAGAGGCACTCGACAAGGAATAGGTATGTAACATCTGCCGGCCTGGATAGTATGAAGAGTGCCTTGAATGGTAGGTGTTGAGGTCCTGAGACAGCACCGTGGGGAATGCTGGTCTAAATACCATTATTCAAAGACATCCATTAGCAGTGTAGTTTAGTTTTACCTATAATTTATTCACTATGAAGCTACGAGTAAAAACGACAACAGTAAGTAAAACTATGGTCCAAGATGCCCCCTACTCAGGGAGATAATCTCTAGCATCATGAAACGCACCACCACACTCAGGTCTTTGCCAATCAGTTATCTAAAATACGTGTCTACTGGAACAGTATTTTGAAGCAGGCCGAAAACATCTCGTTTCATTCCCACTTAAGCTGTGATTATGTTGCATGCACTTTCTGTGATAAACGAAATTAGATATCCTTCCACTTTTGACGCTTGTGTTAGAATTGACTCGCGAAAGTTGAATTAATGCTAACTATATCACTTCTTCCACAACACCAATTAAATTACAGGTTTAAATTCATTGTCAGAATTTTCAAATCTCCGCGAAAATAGACGACCTTAAGAGAGACTGACAAGAAGTGTTAAAACAAGATTCTGGAAACTTTCTGTTCTATTCGATATTTCAGTGGAATTTCCGGGAATTTCTATTTAATAGAACTATTTTGTAATTTGTGACATCAAGAAAAACAAACCCGGATTTCATCACAACTTGCCTTTGAATTAGAGCCAAAATTTTATTTTCTGATAGGGAACAAGAGAGATTTTACACCCACAAGTATCAGATTGGAAGAACTCAGCACGCAAACTCACAAGGTCACTTAGCTTTTTTGACCTTACGCGAGTTAGAAAAGCAATTGGTTTCAAGAAATTTCTGATCTAACGTTAGCCATTCGCTAAGCCTTTCGAAGAAATACTCGTGAAGACAAAGCCACTGTTTGTCATCCACATTTAAGAGTTTGCATTCCATAAATGCATAAGAACAAAAAATATTTGTAGGTGTCAACTTTGATTAATGAAACGGTTCGATTTCTCCTGTCTATCTCAGTAAAGTACTGTATCAGGAGAAATATTTCTGCAGTGCGACATTGAGGATTATTGGTGCAACTGACAAAATAATATTCATCCCTTTTAGGCCCCTGACCAATTATATAATGACTACTCTGTAAGTTTTGCTCGAAGCCAGGTTTTGAGAGTGATCCCGAAGTCTCGCTTCGTCGTTTAGCTGATAAAAGGGCCCAACTAGTATCTGGAAGGCACCACTTCAAGTGGAACTTCTTTTGTGCTATTGCTTTAAGTGCCGCTCACCTGTGAGAATAATATTTTTACTTGTATTTCATCTGCATGTCAGCACATATTTCACATTTATCAGATAAAGATGTCGACGGTTGTTAGACATTTCCTGTTGAAAAGGAAATTCCGAAACAAGGTGAAATTAAGATAATTGTGCCAGACTAGCTGATTTCCTAACAATAGGCAAACCGAACCTGTGTTAAATTCCAGTAATATAATAACGTACAAGTTCTCGTGAACTCCTTACATGACTGGCTAGAGACGAACTATAAAAACAAAGGTGTGTCTTGTTAAGACCATGTGTCGGAAATTCACAATGAAATTAGAAATGTAAGCTAATTTCAGCTAAGAGGTAAAGGAAGTTCTAAGCTTTCATGAATTGAAACAAAAGAGGGCTTTCCCCCTTTTGTTTCCTTTGCGTATGTCATAAATTAAAATTCGCACGCACTTTGTCAGTTATTGAACGGAGCGCCAAGGAAGCGTGCGGTAAGAGAAAGTAAATAAGTGGACTAGGTGAACTTAGTGGTAAGTTAAGTCCTATTAGTCTTTGCCATCATACTTTTTATGAAAAAAGTTTGATTCTTCCTTCTCTTGAGGTTGTCAAATTATTGTTATCATTATTATCACTATTATTATTTCATTTTATATTTTTTATTTTTTAAATTTTTTTGCAGCCTTTGTGAATAACATTGCAAACGACACCCGAAGAATTAAAATGAGGAGCATACAACAAGGAATAGGTATGTAACATCTGGTAGCCGGTCTCAGTGTAGAGACTTACGTGCTAAGATCTAATGCTTGCTTTCTTAAATTAAGGACTGTACGCGGGGCTTAAATGCGGCTCTTAATTTAGTCACCAGAATGAACTCTCAAAAAATCGACGGCAAAGAATAAATCTCAAAACTTCTCAAAATGTTTTACCGTCTGGTTCATGCAGTAAAAAGTACAGTCAGTTCAACTTTAATGCTCATGGTAGCACACGAAACTATTTGTTTATTTTTTCTGAAGTCTGTACAATTCAATTTCAAAACTCGATTGGCTTGTTAAATCTTTCCATTGAAAAAGATTTCCTTGTTACGAGTAAATTCAGTTTAAGGTTCGCTTCTGCCCTAGGAATTGGAAGTCAGAGTCTGGTCAACGGCATGATCGACGGCTATATTTAGCTTTTTTCAAAAAAATGGCCTCCTGAAAGATCAGTTCATGCAGAGTTTTTGGCTGGTTTATCTCCCTTAGTGTCTAAAAATCAATTCATTTTCGTGGAAATCAATATCTACGGAAATAGAATCATCCTCAGGCTTAACCTATGAAATCAAACAAATCGTATGACACAAAATAGCAAAAATAAAATCGAATAGGATAATGTATTTTCATTAACCTTTTTACGCTACTGAAAATGAGCACAACCTACATAGATTTGAGCAGGTTTCAGTCGATTAACATGCTTAGAATCAGAATTCAAGGAGCTGAGAGATAGATCCCCCATACTTTTTTGTGTGCGTTGTCTTCAGTCATGATTTCGAAAAGCAAAGACAAATTCCTTTTTAGCCTGATCAAACGACAACACCCGGTATAGTTCCTTTTCCGAAAATGGGAACATATTAGCAAGACCGGCAACAAATCAATCTGATTGGTTGATTGCAGTTTTGGAGTCCTTCCTAACGGATCTTAAGTCTGAAGACTCCCCCTATTGATCGGTTGGTCGGTCATTAGTTTGGGCGGGAAGGAAAAGGGGAGGGGGGGGGGAATGGTTCGAAGGAGTTGTGTCTCGATAACACTTACCTGATCCCCCAACAAGGCTCTGTAATATTTTTATGACTCTCCCCCCCCTCCCCCCCTCCTCCCTTCTTCGCCACCAGTCCTGAGTTGTTGCGAACTTTTTGTCATTATTCTTTCAGTGTATCATGTTTGTAGCTTTTCCCCCAATCACTAGGTTATTTAAGTCTGTACCTAAGCCTTATAGCATACCATAGCTTGAGTGACTTCACACCGCATAATGACTTCTTTCCTTCAGGCTCGGCTCTGCTGTTTCTGGCACTTTCTGTGACCTTTAAACTTCTATCATCAACGTGTGCAGCCTCAGTGAATTTCCAAAACTACACTACTGTTCACTTGAAAGGAGTAAAGGAAGTAGAAGTACCAAAACAAGTAACAAATAACAGGACATCAGAGACGCGTAAGTAATTATGATTCTCTAGTCTCGTACGCGTGTTGATACTTCTCGCTCACTTTAATTTATCTTTATTATTATTATAATAATCATAATTATAACTATTACTATTATTATCGTTATTATTCTTACCAGCCAAAAACTGTGCTGAACTTTACAAATCCGGTGAAAGGATCAGTGGTGTTTACACAATCGACCCAGATGGTTCAGGTGCCTTCAATGTATATTGTGACCATATGACAGCTGGTGGGGGATGGACAGTGATCCAGAAGAGAATGGATGGCTCTGTTGATTTTAACCGCACCTGGGATGACTACAAATATGGCTTCGGTTACTTTATCGGTGAATTTTGGCTCGGACTGGACAAAATAAACCGCCTGACCCGAAACAAGACAAACAACAAGCTTCGAATAGATCTGGGAGTAAAAACTGGCACAATTGCTCACGCTGAGTATGGCTGGTTTGGGATTGGGAACGAAATGGCTAAGTACCGGCTGTACATTGGCGATAAGACTGGTTAGTAAACCATTCTTTAATTTTCATTGTTTGGATTTATCTTTAATTTTCCTCATCCGTTAAGAACCCCCTCGCCCTCTGTCCCCTCCCTTCCACATGGAACATAACAATAACTGTTTGTTCCTCTAACCGTCTGACTATTCCGCTCACGCGAGGTTGAGTCCAAGCTTCTTTGTTGAAAAGGGTAGTTTACTTTGGAGTCTGCAGTTCAATGATCAAACAGTTACTGAAGTCAGCTCTAGAAATATATCATAGTTTGTTTAACTATCCGACTTGCGCACTTTTAATTTAGCCACCTCGTCGAATAATAGTTAATCAGTTGAAAGTTCATGACTTATATGCTAAGAGATGTCTATTTAACCGAAGTAGCATGTAGCTACTGCATAAATTGAGTCTTATTCTGCTGGTTTTTTGTTTGCTTTGTTGTTGTTGTTGTTGTTTTTTTTGTTTTGTTTTGTCTGTTTGTTCGTTTGTTTGTTTTGTCACAGACATCAAGCTTGACGCTTCGAAGGCGTCAGCATGATCCCAATGCTGATTCTTTTCTTCTTTTTTTTTGTTTTGAAACAGATGAGACTGTGACCTCTGATTCCTTCGGTCTTCACAGGAATTTCGCTTTTGGTACCTGGGATAGATATCCTCATGATTGTGATGAAAAGAGAGGCGGAGGCTGGTGGTATAGCGATAGTAATTGTGGTGTTTGGTCAAATCTCAACGGGATTTACTTTGATAATAAATATTCGCGCGCAATCTTCTGGGCTAATTTGAGTGCCGCACCAGAGGAAAGCATTCCCAAATCAGCAGAAATGAAAATAAGATCAGTCGACTTCTATTCTTCTTTTTCATGGTATATTGACTGAAAACCCTTGTCTCTCTTTCGTTTATGAATGATATTGTAGACCATTCATAGGTCAAAAGATACCTTTCATTGGTCTAACTCAACTATTCTTCATCCATTAATAAAGAAAGTATGTTTTCAATACAATGCTTGTGATTAGTTTTTTCACGTTAACTTAAGAAAGTAAACACACCACAAGGTTGATTAATGGAAAATGTCCATACTGGTATAAAGTAGAAAAAATATTTACCTCAGTGTTGATGAAAGTGGTGGATGTGTAATTGCACATCCACCACTAATCCCTAACTATTGATGCTTTGACTTCAACACAAGGTGCTCTTACAAGCGTCATACATTGCCGTATGTACTAGAGCAAGCGCTGTCCAATCTCCTCCCTAAAGGTGCCAGGCCTTAAGTCAAGGCCACACCTATGATTTCCTATTTGAAAACACATACCTTTTGGAACACGTCCACCTATTTTTAACGCTAAAACAACCAAAACTTCTGATAGAAATTGAGATTTTGGTTCAAAAGTGAAGCCTAAAGAAAAGGTTCTGTTTTTTGGGACGACATTAGACGGAGGCTTCTGAAGAAAAAGATTGCTTTTATCACCACTTTCGAGCGGATTTATATATAAAATAGACATCAAAAGCAATAAAAAACCAAACATCTAAACGCTTGTGTGCATGACGAGCTTTCTTACCCTTACCTATAGACGAAAATAAATACTCATTCAGACGTTACACTCGTTAAGTCGGGGCCTTGAGAACAGTGCTTTTGTTAGACATCTCTAGAATAAGCACTTCATCAAAGAATGGAGCACTTTTTAGGGAATTTAAAAACATGAGTGTGGGAAAAACTTTTTCGAGAAGATCCAAGCAAATTCATTCCTAGCGTATCAACCTTTTTAAGTTCCAACTGGCCATAGTTCTCTTCTCTCGGGTAATTTTGGACACGGATTTCAAAAATTTCAAACTCAATGGCTCTTAAGTATAGAGGAAACCCTAAGTCCCTGCAAAATACCTCCCCAAAATCAAAGGTCCAACCGAAAGAAAAGCCAATGGAGAAGGCTGGGTTTGATATATCGAGTAATTACGGACTCCAGCACATGACACTTTTACACCATAAAATGATACGTAAACCAATCAGCCACAGTGATTGAATTTTGTCTTTCACCCAAATTATCCCTTTATCTTATTGTGATTGTGATTGCCTGATTAGAGATCGCGTGTTTGAATGTATTCCATCAGGGAAATATCATCATACAGTTTTTCCCTCTCAACGAGACATGAAGTACAGTATTTGCGTTATCCGCGGGGGAGGGGTTGGTACATGGGCCAATTTTTGCTGGGTATGTGCCGCTGGCCTCCCACAACCCCTAGCCTATACTCCAAATTTAGTTTTCTTGCATTCATAATTAAAACAAGATATATTTTAGTCCAATTTTTTTCAATATTTTACTCGGTGATTTTTAATAATTTCATTGTTCGTTGCAGCATCTTGACCGATATAGCTCCTTTTAAATACTTTTAGTGTAAAACTGGAACTAGTGAACGGCATCACTAGTTATTTATTTTACGCATAATATCGAAAACGAGAAAAAAAGAAACAATAACAAATATATCCAAAACTAAGATAGATATTCGGAAACGGAAAAGTTATCATAAATCTCTTCATAATTTTAAGATTAAAAATAAAGAGAATTTGCGTACTCAGTTTTCCCTAATCAGCGCAACCCTTTTAGAGCTGTCTTTATTCTCATTATTATTGTCAATTTTATTACTAATTTTCAGCACATTGTTCCTAGAATTTAGTAAGCTACTGATTTAACAAAACGAACGATGAAAAAGTCTTAAATTCCTTACTCAAAGCTACGATGTTGTTTTCCTCAGTAATGAAAATTTACTTGGACTTGAGCGAAACCCTAAAATCATTTCATAGTTTGGCAAAATGAAAATTTGAAAAAAAAAAAAAAAACGGTTCATGTGAAACAGATATGTAACGAGGCTGGTATGGGATAAAGAAGATTATAATGAATCGCAATATTTGGTATTCTGCTATTACTCGGGCTTTCAAATCTCAACAGTATTTTCACACGTTGTGGAAATGAAACCTGGACCGATATTTATTGGTGAGAATTGGTTCTTACCAGTGTCAGAGGTAGCGCTTCCAAAACTGATATGAAAATTCGACCACTGGACTCTCTTAGAACTTTCCGTAAGATAAGTAACAACACATAATTAAGTAAATCGTGATTTTCGCGTGTTCTCATCAGTTCAATGTAAAATTCACCCAGAAGAGTCGAATCTTCCATATTTCCTGCTTTAACTGCATTTGGGATTGGCTGATTAGTGATCAAGTGGCCATGCTAGAATTTGCATAGAATCCGCTGGTAAAACATCATCGTAAACTGTTTCCCTCGCGACCAAACATCAACCGCTTGCTCTCGGAAGTAGCAAAAATATTTCTGAATCCAGTTTTCTCATATCTTACTCAGTGATTTATGCGCGTGGTATGAATTCTACAGAGGTGAAGTCTGCACCGGCCCAATTTGTGCTGTTTTAAACGATAGGGACGTGAAGAAAACTACAAGGTAATGGCAACGATGAAGTCAAAATAAAGGATATCGTGGACAGAATAATAGTTCTTAATATTATTATTACCATAATAACAATAATAATAATAGTCAGCGCATAGGTTAAACCTTTGTATAGACTTTGTGCGTTCTGACAAAAAAAACCCAAATTCAAATGATTAAAGTTTTCTTTTGGAACTCGATGCCGTCTAGAAATAATGCTCCATTTACGTAGCCTTGGGTACCTGAGACAGCCTTTCTCCCGAGTTACCCCTGGGCCAGCCACCTTTTCACTTATTTCTTTACAAAATTCAGCCGACCGTTTGCAGGAAATTGTAAACTCGTCTCGGGTAGGCGAGACAACTTGAGGGGGCGAGTCGTCTCACCTCGGCAGGCAAGGTAGCCCGGGCAGGTGGGGCAGCTTTTTCTCATATAAACATCTTGTCTGGCCGACCCGAGACGAGGCAACTGGAATAGAAAATGCGTGCGCACGCCATTACCAGGATGTTTACAACAATTTTTTCCTATCGTCCGCCATTTTGTCAAATGTCAAATTCCATATAAACGTTCTGTAAAGTTGTCTCGGGGGGAGAGTGTTTTCTCGGGTACCCTTGACCATATAACTGGGCCTAAGTTATGCTAAAGCAGAGTTGAAGCGCAGTAAGAGATGGTATAAACGTAATAAATTCTAAATTACAATAAACATTCATTTTTTAATCGAAGTGTTCCTCGGCGTTGTTGTCCTGACTGCCTAAGGTCCCTATTAAGAATTACCTTTACTACAAGAAAACACTTGTGTACTTTTTCAATCTCTTTTAATTCCAAAGTTCAGACCTCTAGAATATGCAGATTAGAAAAAGGACTACATCAGACTCAGCCATGTAAGTAATTGGTATTAAGAATGTTTGATTTTTTTCCAAACTTTATAGCATTTATTTAAAAATTTTATTAGTAGAACGTCAAATGAAAATATAACAAACGAATATTTTTATTGCGCCAAAATTATTTCTGAAGGATTTATTTATACAATGTAGCGTTGTAAACTATTAGTTGAAGTTTATTTATGTTTTTCTATTTTTCTTTTTTTCTGCCTTTCTACCTATCTAATGATTTTTAAAGTTTTTGTTATTTAATGCTATTAATAAAACCATTTTGGATCATAGTACTTAAAAAAAAAACATTTATCTTTTAAGGAAATAAATTACGATAAAGGGGTAAGGCTGTAAAGAAGCTGTGGTGTTGCGTCTTTAGGAGAGTATAACAGAGTAATTTCGTTTTATTAACTGAGTTAATAAATTAAATTGGCCAACGTAAAAAGTTTCAAAGATGCATTTTCGAGCGCTAGCCTTTCGTCAGAGCGATAAACTGTTGTAAGATAGCTTGTGCGATAACTTGGCGATTTTGTTTCAATGGCAACCCACCAGATCGTAGACCTTCTCCTAAGCTCAAATATTTTCAAGCCTACACTGGTTTTTCATTTAATTTTTTTGCCAGAAAAGCTTCTTACGCGTAATCTGACCAACATGTTAAAGTAGTGAGGTCCATTTCAATTCTGCTTCATTGTTGTACAGAACTTAAGGGGAAACGATCCTTTCAATATCTAAGAGGAGTCTCTAATTTTGTTTTACCTAAGTCAGAATCATTTCAGTTTCAGAAATGATCATTGAATTTTGAGAAAGTTTCAGGGAGTTCTTCGACTGAAAAAAGTATAATTGGATGGACGAAGCATTTCAGGTTGAATATCTGTGGACTTTTGGATAACACCATAACATTAAACAAATCACGTACAGAGCTTTACATAAGGGATGGAATACTGGACTGCCATTCATTGTAGACCAAAAATATTATCATTCATAGGTTGCCTACTACTGCAAATGATGAGATAAAATCCCTATTTAGAAAGAGTTATCAGGGAAATAAAAGGTTTCTGCTTTTCTGTAGTTCCACTAGATTTTCATAAAGACCTTTATAACTAAGGGGAAGATAACCTTTACCGCCTTCTAAATTACAGGGTAAAGGGAAAAGTAAACGAATAAACTGGTTAGGGAATATTTATTAATAATAGGGAAAAGGCGCCTTTTAGTTTAGAGAAAGACATCAAATTATGATATATGAAAATGATCGAATAATCATTGTCATTTAATCAGCACCATACTAATTACCTTCTTTTAACAGTTATAGCTAAACGTAAAGATACCGTTCAGGAATCGAGAAAAATCTTTAAATTCTTACTAAGCGGAGGCCCTTACTGGGTTGGCTTGAGGTCGAAGCAGCACAGACTGAGTGCAGCAACACCTAAGGTAACGACTAACGTGATTGAAAACCTCGAACAAATTCTCACAAGATCTGTGAACAAGAACTTTTATGGCGAGCACATTCAAATAAAATTCTATTCCAATTAACTACAAAAAGAATTCACTATTGAATATCGAAGTTTATTTTCCAGA